CACTGTCATACAGGCTAGAGCACCTTCCACGAGAAGGCTCTATGCGTCTAAATGGTCTGTGTTCTCAAAATGGTGCACCGACAAACAGCTGGACCCACGGTCGTGCGAGGTGCCGTCTTTGCTTGTTTTCCTTCAAGAGATGCTGGACAAGGGCAGGTCCCCCTCCACTCTCAAGGTTTATGTGGCAGCCGTCGCGGCGTTCGCGGAACCCCGACGCGCTCAGTCATTGGGCAAAGACGAGTTAGTCATCCGCTTCCTCAGGGGAGCTAAGAGGATGAACCCTCCGCGGCCCCCGTCGGTTCCGGTTTGGGATCTTTCTATAGTCCTTGAAGCTATGAAAGCACCCCCGTTCGAACCGCTCGAGTCTGTGGATCTGAAATACCTCTCGCTCAAAACCGTTTTCCTGACGGCTCTGTCCTCAGTTAAACGCGTTGGGGATCTTCACGCGCTCTCATCCAGCGCCGCGTGTCTTGAGTTTGGACCGAATGATTCAATTGTCATTCTCAAACCTAGGCATGGCTATGTCCCGAAGGCGATTGGTACCCCGTTCAGGGCTCAGATTATCTCCCTATCGGCTCTGCCTTCATCCGATAGTGAGCGCGATGCCAATCTCCTTTGTCCGGTGCGGGCTCTGAGATTGTACACTACGCGCGCTGCCGCGTTCAGACGCGCTGAGCAGCTTTTCGTGTCGTTTGGGGGGCGCACCAAGGGTCTGGCCGCCTCAAAACAGACACTGTCTAGATGGATAGTGGACGCTATCGCCTCTGCTTACGCATCTAAATGCCTGCCCTGCCCTCTGGGCATCAGGGCGCACTCCACTAGAGGCATGGCCTCATCGTGGGCATGGTCCTGTGGAATTTCCATTCATGACATTTGTGTGGCCGCGGGATGGGCCTCCCCGTCCACTTTTGTCAGGTTTTATAACTTGGAAGTTCCCGCCTTGCAGGCAAAATTACTAGCTGTCTGACGAACAGCTCTCTAAGAAGCTGCATTTCTGGAGGTCCCTCACAACCGGCTCGCCCCTTGTGCTCTCCTGTAATGCTTATACACTTCATGTGCCCGCTCTGCTGGCCCCATACATGCTTATGTGTACACTTCATGAGCCCGCTCTGCGGCCTCTTTGTACATTCACTCCACGTTAAGAAATTCCCCCGGTATATCCCTGGGTTTTTCATGAGTGGATTCGTAGCGCGCACGGCGTTGGCCAGGTGTTCCCGCAGCGTAAGCTAGCTTACGCAATACGAGAGAACCTCTCGTAAGAGAACGAATCGGTTACCTAACGTAACCTCGGTTCTCTCTAGAAGAGGGAACGAGTATTGCGTTCCCGGCCGTGCTTGCGCTACTAGCGTTTCGCTTCACGCTGAAATAAATCAACATATAAGCCTGGGAGAGCGCCTTATATACACCATGGCCACGCCCATTCTGGCGGGTCATGACGCAATGAGCGCGCGGGCGCCTCTCATTGGAAGCGGGTTCAGCCCCGCTCTCCCATAGGCTTAAGCAGTTCTCTCTGAGCGAACCAATGAGCTGCTAGCTAGCCCGCTCTAGGTCTGCCGCAGAGGAACTGCGTTGTGTATGGATACAAAATTATGAAATAATTTTTTGGCTTCAATATCTCAGCAAAGATGAATCTTTCCCGCAGCGTAAGCTAGCTTACGCAATACTCGTTCCCTCTTCTAGAGAGAACCGAGGTTACGTTAGGTAACCGATTCGTTACCGTTTTACTGGATCTATATGATACTTCAATGCAATGTTTGAGTGGTTGATAATAACCATATATCGTCAATATTATAATATCAAGCTACCATAAATGAATCTGCAAATTTTACAAATCGATTTGCATTATAGCTTGAGGCAAGACAAATAAACAAATATCACAGACATGTTAGGTATCCTAAAATATGATTTTATTAATAATCTTCCTCCTTTCTTTGTACATGTTGAGTAGACTACACTTTTTAGGTCAAACATTTGCTATTGGCATTTCATCGATTGCAAAGTTAAAATCAGAACGAGAATACTATCGCGATAGCTAACCATCAAAAACTAGAATATCGTTTACTAGCTACCAGATTGATAATTCGCTACTACTCTAGCGAATTAGAGAGGTTAGAGAGAGGCATTCTTTTTTCGATGGGGGGTTCGATGCTCCCTGCACACGCAAGGTCTCTCGCTCGCTTTCTCTCTCTGGCGTCCGCGCGCGTTGCAGCACAGTCTCTGTCTCGCGTGCGCGCTCGCTCTAGATTCCGGGAGATTTGAACTAATTTGCGGTATAACTTGTCGATCACGAGTGGCTCAACAGGTAGAGATCTATAGATAAACTCATCTTTCAGGCATTTGACCGACCGGGTTGACAATTTAGCGTGAGAAACCGGGGGTGTGGCGTGTGAGCGTGTGAAACCAATCAAAAGCGGGTGTCTCACGGCCAATGCGTGAGAGTTGGCAGCTCTGCAATGTTGATCCTCGTTCTGCCTTTAACGCGATCACTTTCTCTTTTTGCTTTGCTCCGATAAAACCTTTGCTTTCTTGTTTTTCTGTGCTGCTTCGGCCATGACTATAACATTTGGCTCGCAAGTCCGATTTTAAGGAAGTGGAAGTGGTGGTGGAAGTGACGTATATGCCGTAAAGCAGTCGAATTTTGTAGTTCTGTTTGTTCGCCGGTTACTACCCGAAACCCGAAGTTTAAAAGTACGATTAAAAACGCTACAGACCCCGTCAGGCTATGGCAGACGTGTCATTCAACCTATTGTAAGTCGATGTACCATCACAAGAGACTTGGAAATATATTATGAAGGCTGAAAAGTTACCTGTTGTTACTTTAAAAGAAAGAAATTAGTACTTTCATTCAGCAAGGATACATTAAATTGATTAAAAGTGACAAACATTTATAATGTTACAAAATATTTCTGTTTCAAAAATGTTAACATTAATATAACACAAACAAATTAAGCGGCATAACATTGATAATAATAAGAAATATTTCTTGAGCACGAAATCATCATATAATGATTTCTGAAGGATCTGAAATTCAGCTTTGCATCACAGGAATAAATTACATTTTAAAACAATAAAATAGAAAAACATTTTAAAAATCTAATAATGTTCCACAATACAGTTTTTTACTGTATTTTTGATTAAATAAATGCAGTCTTAAAAAATGATGTATGAATTCAATGGTGTATGTATACACATGCATATGTGTATACAGTATATTCACATTAGGTTACATTGCATAGATTTGTGTTCTTTTAATATTTATAATTTAATATGAACTTTTTAAATTTAATATAACAACAAAATATTATAACATATCAAATATTATTAAATATAATTGATTTATTAAAGAGATCTCATTTAGGGATTGTCTTATGGGAGCTCACAAAAACATTTAGTCATTTAGCAGACATTTACATTTACATTTAGTCATTTAGCAGACGCTTTTATCCAAAGCGACTTACAACTGAGGACTAAACCAAGCGAGTCATCGTGAAGAGGCAAAAACAACGCAAGAAGTGCTCAAAATACAAAGTTCAGACATAGCCAGGCGCGCTGGAAGCTGTTTCATGCGAGGGGGGCTGAGGGCTGGGTTGGAAAATATGTGACGTCATTGTGTTATGGCTGACGACAAGACATGACATTTCTCTGTATATGTTGTAGCCATTAAAGAAAACATATTTAGTTTCATATTTATGTTTAAATATAATAGGCTAATGTTATTTTTTATTTAATCAATGTTGATTATGAAAGTGAGCGCGCAGCGTGAGAAAGACATGATACATGAGATCATGAAATACCCAAAATGTCTGGAGACATGTCACGAGGAGTGGGTAAGACATGATTTTTACCTTCACTAAGTTTTTTTATTGTTGTTGTTGTAGAAAGACTCTTTTAAAAATATTTTCGTTTAGTATAAATTGTATCTTAATTTTGATATGTTTCATCAAACAATTGTATTTAATAGCTAAATAAGAAGCAAATATAGCAGACAATGTAAGGCGCCGGCGATCATTGCACGTAAACTGGAGGGCGCCGAAACTCAGCTTGTGCCTCACAGATTTTATAAATATAGGATATCTATTAGCTTGAAATGTCTTCTTTTAAACGAAACTATTCAAAACGAAAAGAAATAGACTAGGCCTACTCTCTGATTATGTAATCAAATGTGCATTTCTCTCTGGCGTTCATGGCGAGTCCGCATAACTTCATCTTTGCAGCGACACAGAAAACACCTGTTTATTAATAAACAATTAAATGTCTCCTTGCTATTTTTGACACATTAATAATCATTACTTTCGCCGGTTCTTTGTGGCAAGGTTTATGAGTGCGGCTATATTAGCCTACGTAAACGCTCATCCTGTAGCCTATTTAAGTAATTAAATCAATATAAAGGGGCGATGTGTCCACAGTGGCTAAAATGAACAACTACTAATCGACTAGAAGAAAACTTTAGTCGGAGACAGCCCTTATTCCACATATTTTCGAACCAGCAGGCCATTCTGGGTTGAGCGCGCGACCCTGAGCGGAATGAGCGAGCGGAGGGATTCAGAAATGCGCTCTCCGCTCACATGCTCTGATCGGAACAAACTAAGCATGACAAATTCAAACTTTATTTCATTTTCTCCGTAGCTTGAACACTCAAACACAGCATGTCTATTTTCATTTTTTCCCCCACGTTTTTTAGTACAATATTATCTTAGTCCACAGCCCCCACCAAGGGGGCTGTGGCTATGACGAGGGGGGCTGCAGCCCCCGCAGCACCCCCCTTCCCGCGCTACTGGACATAGCTCGGAGTAGCATAAGCCAGGCAAGCGAGGATTTAGAGGAAAGGATTTTTTTTCATTTTTTTATGTTATGTTAAATGCTCCCGGAAGAGATGAGTTTTCAGTTGTCTTTTGAATGCTGTCAGGGATAACAACTAAAAAAAGGAACAACCAAGGCAAAACCCAAAGCTGCTGCCATAACTAGAGTAAAAAGGACATTGAGACTAGAAATATAACTACCTTCCCTGGGCGGTTCACAGTAAATGGCCTCTCCTTCATCATCAGTTTCAAATGAATCAGTCACCCAGCCGGATGATGGCTGCTCAATGAAGCTGTGGTTAAATGTGAGCTCGGGATCATGATGAGCAACTGAAGACACAGCGGAGAACATTATAAGTCCACTTACGTTCACCAAAACACAAACTCACTTGCATATGTTTCTCAGTGACAGCTGCAAATGAAAATAGATGCATTACCTGTAACCCTGGGTAAACCAGATGACCAAAGAGTAATGCATGGCATAGCTGAACCCATGTTGGCCAACACAGTGTAAACATGGTGCTTCATGCGGACTGTAGGGCTCCCATCCCCTACCGCCACTCTGAAGGATTTAGATTTAGCAGAAGATTTTCTTACTGTTTACAAAATTAAAGGACATTTTTTGTATTATATCAGCTGCCAGATAACAATTTCATACCCTTCCTTCCCTTCGACTGGCCTGCCGCAACAGCAGCAGCAAAACAACAAGGCGAGTATTAAAATGCACAGAGGAATCAAAAGCCCTGCTATGAGACCTGCTCTGCTACCTAGCAGACAAACACACACACACAAATTAGTAAGGGGGTGTGGATACCAGCTGTGAAAACCAACTGTAGTGTCTGTACATACTGTTTGGACAAGACCCTGTGGCTGGATGGCAGGCATGATTCCCACAGTCACATGTTGAGGAGCAGTTGACGCCATACAGGTTAAGAGGACATGAGCTGTTACAGCTACAGAGATTTAACGGTGAGAGACGCTCATTTGAATCTTATACCAAGTTAAAAACAACCTATAAATACCACTGTACCCTCACCTCTCACCCTGGAAACCAGGAAGACAAATGCAACTTCCTGTCACATAGTCACAGAGGCCATGATAGCAGGTTTTACACAGGAAGCGGCAGCCATCTCCGTAAGTACCATCTGTGCAGGGTTTGTCACATCTGCAGAGAGGGAGAAGCCCAAAATAAAGTAAACTAAAAGATATAAAAACCACCCCGTGTCAAAATCTAAGATAGCTCAATAGCTAGATGCACTCAAGAAAAAAATACAACGTGTACAGTGGCCCAAAAAAGTGTTTGGACATTTAAGACACACTTAAAATGAATTTTATTGCTGTAGATAATAATGCTTGTTAGGGTTTAAATTAGGTGTCGCCAGATTTCTCAATTCAGTTCAATTCCATTTTCATTTGATAAAATTCATATTAATTTAGGGATTCTGTTGCATCAAGTTTGCTTACATAGGAAAGAAATCTATTGGTGTAAATTATGCCCTGCAGTGTTTCTGACTTATTAAAACCTATACCTCTTCTTTTTTAACTATTAAATAGACTGGCTTTTTAAGAGTCATTTATTTGTGAATGGGACACTGGTTGTGCTGTATGTTGTTGATTCACTTTAAAGAAACAGCTCATAAGAGTCATTTGTTCGTGAATCAAACTACACTGGCCACACTGTATGGTGTTTCTGATTCACTAAAAATAACTAACTCATAAGAGTCGTTTGTGAATCAGACTACACTAGTCACGTAAGGACCTATCAGCCAGGACATCTAGAGATTCATGAACAAACTAGATATTTCTGCGACAAGGTTTATCATCTAATGTGATTAAGTGCATACATTTTAACTGTCCTTTTTAGGCCACTGTAGTTTGCCACAGTAAATAAGACAATTAATAGGATGTTCTTTTCAGAGCTGAATCCCAACAGATCTGTACCTTGGTCCAGTCCACCCAGTATCACAGTGTAAGCATGCTCCAGTTTCCGGGTCACATGGGTCCATATTTCTGCAATGCGGACAAACCTCTTGGCAGCGATGGCCATAATAACCTGCAGGACAGCTCTGGTCACAGCGAGTGCCATTCCACCCTGGTGCACAGGCATCACACAGGCCGTCCTGTTTAGAGCAAGACCTGCCTCCTTCACAGTGTCCACAGCTACACTCACACACAGATATGAGAACAGAAATCATGGATGAACCAAAAATTCATGTTATGTTTTTAATCTAGCCTTTTTCACTCACCTCTCCTTACAGCCTCTGCCATACTTTCCACTTTCACAAGGCTCATTGCAGACAGAGCCTTTGTAACCCGGGTAGCACAAACAGATGCCAGTTTGCAGGTCACAGTCGGAATGGCTGAGATTACAATTACATCGGCGGTCACAGGACGGACCCCACCAGCCACGAATGCACTGACAGGCCCCTGTGCGCTGCTGGCAGGGGGACACGAAGCAGTTGCATCGCAGGCTGCACTTTTGGCCCCAGTAGCCCTCATTACACAAGCAGCGGCCTGTGGCTTGGTCACAGGTGGATGTAGCGGCGTGGCACTGACAGGCTTTGGAGCAAGTGGACGTCCACCAGCCCTCCTCACAGGTGCAGTTGCCGTAGACAGGGTCACATTTCCCATGACGTGCACATTTGCAGCTGTTTTGGCACAGGTTGCCCCAGCGGTTAGACGGGCACGAGCACTCACCCGTAACTGGGTCACAGAGCCCATGAGGGTGACAGGGGCAAAGCTCACGACAATCCGCCCCCCAAAATTCACGAGGACAACCTGCGGAGAAATACGAATTCAGATCCGTACAATAACTAGAATCGCACCACAATGAAAACAATAGAAACTTATATTAATATTATGTAAAAAATATATTAATTATTTATTCAGTTTTGTTTAGTCAGAGATACTTTTTATAGAACAGTTAGTTGCTGTCCTTGAATTTGAAATCATCAATTACATAATTACACCATGCAGTAGGTGGCAACAAACGAACGTCACGAGTGAGTCACTGAATCATTAATTCAACAGATTCATCTAAACACAGTAATTCATTCAGGAACGCCACTACTGTGTGTGCACTAATTTATGAAGCTTTGAAACATTTATGAATATTTTTATTTTTGTTTTAAAAAAGCCCTGTCTAATAAGACAAACAAAAGCATATATTTAATGGTATTTAATTTATATATATATATATATATATATATATATATATATATATATATATATATATATATATATATAGACCTTCATTTAACCAGGATAGTCTCTCTGAGATTAAAAATCTCTTTCACATGAGTGTCCTGGCCAAGAATGGACACAGTCACAAAATTACAAATCAACAACAAATTACAACACTTAAAAACAGTTGCACATCATTGAGTCTTCTTCCAGTGACCGAATAATAGTTTTGAAATGTTCCATAGGCACCAGAGTTTGTAATTTCAATTTCGTTTGGAGTCGATTCCATTCAAATGAAATTCATGTAGATTACATTTAATATATTACACTTTTGATTAAAAGAAAATATTAATTGTTTTTTAAGTGGCATGCATGTTTATGCTAAGGGTTCGTTGCATTTACAGTTTTGAGCAGCAGGTGCCGACAGCCTGTTTGTTTCACGTGCCTCTAAACAGTGAATCATTTTGCGAAGCAATTGATTCAGAGTTTCGAAAAGCTTCGTTTCTCCCATACTGTTTGGAAACAGCTTGATTCTGGAACTATTTTAGTTGACGGAGGGAAAACAAAGTAACTGGCAATATTGTGTCTAAAAATGTAGGTAGCTCAATATTAAATGCTAGTTGTTGATATACGAAGCAGAATCACTTGTCATGCCACACTTGTTGTATTGAGGCATTCTTGCTCGTTTTTCAAATCTCTAACGTAAAGGCCACAGCTGGCCTACAGTCTTGAAAACAGAAACCTAGGTGATATCACTTACGGGTTTTGCACTGGTACCCGTAAAATCCAGGTTTACATCGACAAAGTCCAGGGTAAACACACACTTCGTCCTGCAGACAGGCTCTTTCGCCCTCACAGAGGGCTGAGAAAACAAAAAGGGAGACTAGACAACAGTAACTGAAACCGCAGCTTCACAAAACTGCTGACATCTAGGCCCACAGGAAACGGGCCTGGTGTGTGTGTCATCAATAAAACAACAATTTAATAAAACTATACATCTACAGATGGTATACTCACGGACAGTGCATTCATCACCATGTTGGCCCCATCCGGGACAACATGTGGGAGAAGAATCCCTGTTTAGAATATATAGCAGACATTATAGGCTATTCTACAATGTATTGAATATACTGTCCTAATAAATAGGGAAAAGATTATAAGTAGGAAAGGGAGAAAAATAAAAAATAGGGTTCATAACATAAGAGACCTCTTATAAATCACAAACAAGACCTCCACTCTTTCACTTAAACAGTTTGAGATTAAATTGAAAGAAATTGAAGACATCTCAGATTTTTCTCCAGACAAAAGTACTATAGAGTTTCAGAAGAGATTTCAGTAGTCTCTCAAAATGATCTAAAAATGTCCCAATATCTATGATTTTTTATTTGATCAAACATTTCACATTGAAACTATAAAACTGTCTTGTCAATGCGATTCACTTTAGTTCTCTATTATTACCGGCCTATATGTAGAACAATGACACATTGACACATTCATTTTAGGACATCTGAGACAATGATACTTCAGCATAACTGAATTCTGGGTCAGTACCTGATACTGTGGCAGATATTCTTCCCGGCTGGAGAGAGTCTCTGAGCTGAGCAATAGACACACATGAGCATCAGTCCAAATGAGGTCAGAAAGGTGTCCATCCCCTCTGGACCGACCAAAACCGAACCTCCTCTCCTACCACGGCACCAGTCCAGGCTAGTTCTGTACTTCTGGAATAGAAAAGATCCAGTCCAGTCTCTGTAGCAAAATGAGCTCTCCAATTCCCTTTGTTTCCTCTGCAAGTTTCCTGAGGAAGAAAAGCCAGCTTCCTCTAATTCAATAAGCCACTGGTTGTTTAAAGACAAAATCAAGGCCCAGAATTTCAGGGAGGAGTTGGATATTTTTAATGGTCAGTCTTCCTGCCAACATCTTCTCATCCTTATCAATTACTTTCATATGTAAAAAATAAATACAAATAAAATACAAATATTAGAACATTTTACTGACTATAAATGGACTTTTGTTCAGAATACAATGATCTCTTCAGGTCAAAAATCACACACACAAACATCACAATAACCCCTAAAGATTTTATTTAGCTTTATAGCACTTTAACAAACATGTTTGCGAAAATAAAACAGTAAAAGGTCAGTATAGGACTCATTAACTTTTATTTCCAAAGGTCCAAAAATAAACAGATGAGTCACAGACAGCTAAGGAATACAGAATTCAGCTAAGGGCCTTTAAAACATATGGGCACCCATTATCTCTAATTTCCTCCTGAGGAAACACAGACTTCCTCTCAATCAGGGAACACCAGGACGCATACAAAGTATATTTGAATCACATCCACATTTTTGCTTCTTATTTCAGATGAATGGCTGAAGAGGTACCAACTTATTAAAGAAATAGTTCACCCAAAAATGAACATGTTGTCATCTTTTACTCACCCCCACGTTGTTTCAAACTTTTATGACTGACTTCTGTGCAACACAAAATAAGATGTTTTGAGGGATATCCAGTGTTTTTTATCTGTACAATGGAAGTCAATGGTAATTAAAACAGTTTGGTTTGAACATTCTTCAAAATTCTTAACATATGTCTTAATATTTATGTAATCCTTTTGTGTTCTGCAGAAGAGTCAAACAGGTTTGGAATGACATGAGGCTGAGGAAATTATGACGGAATTGAAATTTTTGTGTGAACTCTCCCTTTAACAGATCAGACAATTAACCTTTAATTAAACTTTTAAGCATCGCTTTTTTTAACTTCCAGGTTAACAATCGTGGACATCTCCACAGAACTGGCATGCTGCTTGACATTAAAAAAAAAATGTTAGATGCAAATATTAAAATGATTCTATTTAAAAACATGCTGAAAATCCTTATAGATATCCTTAGATATAGATATACTTTTTAGGGACAGCTAATGTTTTATCAACAACAACAAAAATACTTGAAGAACATGATTGAATACAAAATACTCTAATGCCCCCTATTGACATAAAAGGGTCAGTGTGATTATCTCTGATAGTGATTGTAATACAATGTCAGTATCTTTGGTTAAAATCCATATTAAATATACTCTCTATAAAAATAGCTGCTATAATTCTCTCTAGCTTCCATCCAGACATCGAAAATATAATGCCAGGTGTATTATGATTATCAAAACACTGCAGATTACTCCCATGTTTTTAAGTGCACCAGTCTGCAGTCATTTATGCACCACCAAATGAAATTGCAGGAATAATTATTGTTTCCAAAGCCTCCTACAGCCCTTCCAAGTCAATTTCCCGCTAAACAGCTTATTACATGTAGCCCCGCCCCAAACACATGCCATTGGTTGAGCCAGAAGTGGGCCTTGAAATAGCAATATTTTGGAAGTGCCACAATACCATTATTTACACTCATTGGAAAAGCAAATGTCTTACTTACAGTTGTATTAGCATATTACACTGTAATAGGAGAAAGTGAAACAAATTATACACTTCACCTTTAACTATACACACTCATTGAAAAGTTTAGGGTCAGTAAGATTTGTTTTTTAAAGAAATTAATACTTTTCTAATTAAAAGAAGAAAAATAAGAAGCACAAATGTTTTCAACATTGATAAACATTGATATCAATAAGTAATGTTTCTTGAGCACTAAATCAGTTTATTAGAATGATTTCTGAAGGATCATGTGACACTGAAGACTGAAGAAATTATGCTTTGCCATCAAAGGAATAAATTACATTTTAAAATATATTAAAATGGAAAACAGTTGTAATAATATTTCACATTACTGTTTGTACTGTATTTTTGATCAAATAAATGCAGCCTTGGTGCTCTTGAAATTTTACCGACCCCAAACTTTCGAACAGAAGTGTAAACAACTAACAACAAAATATAGGACTGACAGTCTAAACTCATCTTCAGGTCTTCTCTTGAGTGACCATCAAGCTCAACTCTAGCTATCCGCTAATTTAACAAAAGCCAAGTGCTGACTTTTTTATACTACGAGTAAAAATGACGGCTTAGGCAAAAACCATAAAAATACCATGTCTGTATAACCAAATAGATAGAGAAATAGTTCTCTCAATACAATCTTCAGTCCGTTCCTTCGTTCGAAACCTAAATGAGATCAAGAACATATTTTGAAAAACCCAGGTAAGGATGAGTGGCAGATGGGGTGGTTCTCAAGAGGAGCTGAGGGTTTGTGTCTCTCCCTCGTCTCCCTGCTCATCTGGATCGATGATTTCCCATGTGGAGCTGGATGTCGGAAGGTCAGAGGGCTGGGAACCGGAGCTCTTAGTAAGACTGGACCGCGTCAGGAAACCAAATCTAAAGGTTTGAGTCAGAGGAGATAAGAGAGCTTTAAATCACTGAGAGAAGAATGACAGAGGGGGATTTCAGTACTATGTTTAGTTCAGTTTCAGTAGCTAGTTGCCACGCTCAGTTACTAAGGTTACTAAGCTGAAGAGAGAAATGTGATTACGAGATCTCTAAGATCAGCTTAGAGTTTTTTCCAGGAACATATAGAATGAATGTTGCTAAGAGGCAGAATATACAGTATATTATGGAGCAAATTGTTGTGTGTGTATCACAAATTACTGCATACAATACACTTTCTCTTTATAAAAAGACTAAGAGTCTTATCTAAAAATGTGTAATACATGAGCTTCTCAATGAGTATATTGTCAGTTGCACAATACTTGAAGTCGCATGCTTTTTACCAACATACATTTAAAGGGAAAGTTTAACAAGCCCAACCTGCCCCACAGGCTACAATGTACAAATGTCTGTCATCTAACCTAAAAACTGTAAACCAAAAAAGTAAATGTAAAAACAAATGTCTGTCACGTAACCTAAAATGTAAGAAATGTAAACAATGTAAATGTAAAAAAAAAGTGGTAACATCTAAATTAACTTTGGTAACAAATTAAATTTGGCCCAAATTATTATTTAATACAGATTCATTCATACAGTAATTTATAAGGATAAAATCACTTAAATTGACTTATTAAAGGTATGTAATGTTTGCACAACTAGCAGCAACCAAAAACATTACAAAAAAATACTGCATAAAAACTGTTATACTACATAACAACATTGAAAAAAACCTCAACAGCAACCATAACAAGTGAAGATATTTTACAGCATAGAAGAAGCATGTCAAGCTGCTGTTGGCTACATCTTAAACTACAAAAACAAACTAAACCTTTCACACTCATAATGCATTTATTGCACCCAAGACTGGTGGCTTATCCCATAACCCAATTCTACAGAAACCCATTTTTAGTGAAGTAGGTCAGAAGAATTTAAGTAGATTGTTGGACTGGAATCAGTTATTGCTATAGGTCTGTCTTGTTTTAGCATGAATGCAGCACTCACATGTTTCTGATGCGTGAGTCCCGGGGTCTGTTGTCAGTGTCGATGTCTTCATTTCCACTCCTCTCAAACAAAGGGCCATCTGTCTCATCTCTACACGAGAGTGAAACATAGTTAAACATAACATTAAATCACTGTATGCTACTAGTATGTTTGTGGCATGTACTCACGTGCTACATTCGCTAACAGGTATGCCGAGCATTTTAGACTTTATGACGGTCCTCTGCTTCTTTATGGCAGAGCGCACGGCATCGAGTAAAAACCCTGGGCATCTCTCATCATTCAGGATTTCCCTAAGGAAAGACAGAGAAATGTGTGTACGTATTGAGAAAGGATGTTGTGCTGATATAAAGGTTAGAATGCATCACAAATGCATCTGTCTCACCTTTGGTAATATGCAAGCTCCTCTTTCACCAGAAAGAGATTGGCCTTCAACTCGTTCCTCTCAAAAAGCATTTCCCGTACTTCCATCTTGGTAAAACAAGGCCGATTTGGATCTTTCAAGTCAACGATCATCTTATCTGTGAGGTCAATGGCTGAACTGCTCTAAAGGAGGCAAAGGTGGAATTATAGGAGTGTGTGAGTCAAATACCATAAATGTCTTAAGCACAGTTGATAATGTGCAGCTGATTCCATTTTTAAAAAGACAATTTGATAGCACTTTTACAGTGTTTGTGGGACACATTAAATCATAAACCACAATCATTAAACTAAAAACAAAAAGTGTGGTACACAGTGGTGCCTAAATAAGAGGTTTAAGTGAGTTCATAAATACTCAGAATTACATTTAAATTAAGTTTGAAAATAATAAATAAATAAAAAACAGTTTAATATAAATATTAATATAAAAGTAATTTAATAATATTGAAATGTAAAATAATAAATACAACCAGTTCCTTTCTAAATCATTTATATTTATATTTGTTAATATTATAATCAATATTATTTTTTTTGTTAATTACTAAAAACGTATATTAAGATAAATTAACTCAATTTAAATTAGAACTAAATTTATATTAAGATTGATTTTGAAACTAACAGTTTAATATAAATATTAATATAACATACATTTTATAATACATATACATACATTTTATAATATTTAAATGTAAAATAATAAATAGAATAGTTATTTTCTAAATAATTTATACTTATTTATATTATATAAAAAATTGAAATTATATAATATATATTATTTATATATAATATTTATTATTTATATAAAATATTTTCTTCATTCCTAAAAGCTTATTTGATTTCTGAATTCAATTCATCTGTTAGTCTATTAAGATAAATTAACCAAATTAAAATATAAATTAAGTTATTTAAACTATCCATTTTAAAATTAATAAAATAAATAAAACATTAAAACAGTGTAAATATTAATATAAATATTAATATCTAGTTCAATGTATCAACTTATTCCTTTGCCGTTTTTGTTAATTACTAAAAGCTTTTATTTATTTCTGAATTTAAATTATCTCTGTTGATTAAGATAGAACTAAAGTGAAAAAGATTCTGACAAGGTTTTAATGTCAGAATTTAATCAAGCATCCTGAAATGTTTATAAGCTGAAGGGGGAGTTGTGCACAAACATGCCCGTTACACTCCTGCGAGGGCAAACATGACCTATATATGCCAAATCCAACCAACCAAAGTGGAATTTAGGCCCTGCGCCTGCGGTAGTACATACCAATACCTAAACCCCCCAAGAGGAACGAAGAAGCTTCTGTCTCATTATGCTTTTAGGAAATACAAAAATGATGAATACCCACAATCCCACATATAAACCCAATACAGGACAGCTAATTTGTTTGTAAGAATCGAAGTAATATTAACTTGACTAACCGTTTCAGCAGCAGTATTCACGCTGGCTCTTTCTAGTTGTGAGTTCAGGCGCTCTATCTCTTTCTGTTTCTCGCACAGGTCGGCCTCCATGTCAGCCTTCCTCTCCACTGCGCTCTTCAGCTGAGTCTGTATGATGTTCTGCTTGTGTCTGAGCTCTGCGTTTATCTTCATTAGCCGCTCCTGCTGCTCCTGGAGCTGAACAACAACCACAAACACACGCTCTTCTGATCACTCAAACTGATTTTGTAAAAGTAAAAGTTAAGTTCATTTTCTCTAAAGCTATGAATTTGCAGTGAATTGTCTATGCAATTGTCTACTATGTGGAACTGGTCTGATCAGTTTTATAACAAAAACAAGGCAAACATAAAACATAAAAAGGGAAACTATTAACCTCAGCTCCAAACCACAGGTATACGCTTCTGATGCAATTCATGAATAACTACTTGTCATCCACGACTGATGACATGACACTTTTGTTATTTTGTCACAGGTGCTCTGCGAGTGACACAATGTTGGCACTGTGTTTTAAATTCAACAAATTGATGTTGCAAAAACTAAACTAGTTCTGATGAAAAGACTAGTCTGTTTTACAGTGGGTGAAAAACCTGGTTACCAGAATTCATTTCTAGAGGGACAGTGAAAAGAAATATCATTCTTTCATTTGCTTTCATTTTAAGTGCAAGAAAGCAACATTTTGGAGTATAATACTAATAGCCCCTTGTAACCCAAAGGTTCATGGTTCAAAACCTGGTGCCCCTGATAATTGATTTGAGCAACTCAGGTTATATCAGGGCAGTTTTATCAGACACATACCGCTTCCACCTCCTTGGACATGCTGGATATCTCCTGAACTTTCGCTCTCAACTCATCACGCTGCTTATCCACCACTTCCTTCAGCTTGAGCATCACCTCTCGTTCCTGACGCTGTGTGCGGTCTAGAGAAAAGATCAGATTTTAAAATACTGCATGCAGACAGATGCAGATAATGTTGTAAAATAAGACATTTCAAATGCAGGTTGAATTACGGATGAATTTTACATTGTGTACTGTCTCTAAATAAACAAATAAATAAATGTCACAGTTTCCTGAATTTCATGAGTTTGACTAAATAAAAGCAAATGTTAACAGCTCCTGGAATCTGACAACAACATTCCTGACTGCTGACCTAACAGTAATAAATGGAGAAAAACTCCTCCCTTAAATAAGATAAATAGCTTTATTCAGTCTGAAACTTGTCCCATAGAATGAGAGCTCAATTGCTCAGAAAAGTTGTATTCCTCCCTGATATCAGGATAGAAAAAAACACCTCCATTTGAAGAAGATCTCATGACAAGCAATTACATTTTGGACTTTAGTTTTTATACTGTACACAACAATAAAAATTAAAGTTAAATTGGTGCTACAAGGAAATACAATGAGCCTGTAATAATTTAAAGCACTTAAGACTCTGGATAATACCTTCCTTGAAAAATTAACAATTCAATATTTTGAAACATTTTTCAATATTATGATGTATAATATAATTTTTTTGTATTTTATTGAAGATAATTCACCCAATTCTCTAAATGCATGTCATAGATCTGACTGTGAAGGATTTATCTATGTAGATGTTTCAATGTAAAAAAATAAATAAATAAAAATGTGTCACCAAAAAGTCATAACTGGATCTTTCTGTGATGATCTGTAATGTGGTGCGGTAGAAGCACGGGAAGGAGGCTGGATCCAAACGCAGTGTACAGGCTTTATTTAGACAAACTACAAACTTAGACAAAGACTCAGACTGGGATACAGGACTCAGAATCAGAAGCGACCAACGTTGACATCAAACATTCAACAACTCACAAAGACAGGGCAAAAACACAGGGCTTAAATAATCATAGACAAACGAGCTAACAGGATAACAAGGGGGCTTGGAATATAAGAAACACCTGGGAAAACTAATAGACAGGTCAGGGAACCACTGAACATGAAAAGACAAGACACAAAACCCACATCATGACACTTTCAGTGAAAGTGGCAGACTTCTCCCATCAAACGACTGCAAGCTTGTCTTCATCTGCCTCCACTTTTGAGTGCAATGCCCACATCTCAAAATCCAATAAAACAAAATGATGTATAGAACCACGCATTACGTTTTCTTTTCAGATAACCCATTACAGTCGGCATATGTACATCACAATACAGGAAAAAAAGTTACTTCCGTGACTTTAGTACGACTGATCATCATTCCACTACATAAAACAATTAAGACCATCTGAACTAAAAACATTTCATGATGGTTTCCATTCCAGAAAGTGTAGTTCATTTACTATTACACTGGAAATGGCAATTACACCGATATTCATTATTCATTTATAAATGAACAAACTCATGTCTTCATTTAAATATTGTTATGTGCATCCCAGCCCAGGTCATTTTACCTTCTTTGGAGTGTGTGCATTGTAAGCGGGTCAAAAGCTCCTGGTTCTCTTCCTTGAGCTGATGCACCTGCGACTGTAACACTTCTACGTTCTCCTTCAGTTTCTTCTCTTTCTGATACCAGTCCTGATGAAAAAACAATCGAATCATTGCAAAAATCCTTTCAAACCACAAACGCATGAAGTGAGACTACCAGGTGTCACCCTGAGATTGGTTTCAAAAGCCTAACAATTTAACAGATCACTTTGAGAACACAGTGGCTGAGTCCGAAATCGCATACTCTCTTGAGTAGGTACTTATTTTGAATAAGTACTTCATGGCACCTAAAAAAAGTATGTTCTATATAGTATGAATTTGTGTAGTATTAACATACTACATTTGCCATGCTTTCATTATAATGTGACCTACCAGCGTCAGTTACTTCGCTTCACTGCCATTCACAAATCCTCTCCCGTGGTCTCATGGGATAGTAAAGTGTCCATCATATGCACACTTCAGAATCTCGCAGGAAGTAGCTGGTCATCCAGGTACTTTTTGCCAACTCTTTTATGAGTAGGCCTACAGTGTGAATTTGGACATACTGTCACATACTGTTTTTCACCTACTACAAAGTAGGGAAGTATGATTTCAGATGCAGCCAGTGGCTTGTAAACCACTCATGTATTAACATTGCAAGACAGGCCCATATGCTTATATAAGCAGCACAACCATACATCTTATTAGTTGAGAGATGTTTGACCGGTTCATTTTATTAAACTATTTAATTAACTCCTCTCTTAAATAAGATAAACCGCTTTCAGTCTTAAACTTTGCACACAGAAAATTAGAGTTAAGAGAAGTAGCCTAAAATTTCTCTCTAAGAACGACAGTGATATATAAGGATAGAAATTATTTTGAAGATCTCATAAGATTTAATAACTGATTGCAACCTAGCATAATTATTTAACCAGCATCACTGAACAAATCATTTTAATGAACATATCACAGACACTTAGACGAAATCAAGATCCCCACTATTATGGATGTTACATTATGTTCTCAAAATGACATTTATTGAGGGGAAGGGTAGACCGGAAGTGCCCCCTATTGGCATTTCCTAAAATCGATCAACGTGTCACGAATCAAAAGTCCAGCTGGATTAAAGGCGATACCCCCAAGTGCAACACAACAGCTCTGCCCATTACATTAAAACACAGTTATCCATAAGACAACCGCATAGACATTTGAAAATAACTAGTAGTGCTACAGTAACAGTGTTGACATGTCGACCATGTTGTCGTGTTCTTACCCGACTCTCTAAGCTGTTGCTGCTCTCATCGCATTCCTTCACATGCCGTTTCTTCTGCTGCTGTAACTGTAACGTTTCAAATGCCTTCAATAGGTCCTCTTCCTTACATTTATTAGATTGATTTCTCGCCGCGAAACTCTCCAAGAGCTCCAACACTTTCACTATGTGAGACACCAGACCCTCCACACTCGACTTCCCATAGCTGTCGATGAGCTTCTCCAATTCTGACCCCACTACTTTAGCGATTTCATACACATCGTCCACTGTCATTGATGAAAACGTCCTCGCAAAACACGAATGTATCTTGACGATATCGTTTTGGTTTTCCTCGAAGGCTATCACGCAAGTCTCCATAACGCACTTCAGATGAACTTGAACTCAAACAGCGACAATCGAAACTCCTGTCAGTCTGATCTCAACATGCGTCCAGTTGTGATTCAGCTCGAACGCAGATCTTTTTTTGTTTCACTTTTAAACATGCATGCATTTTCGATCCAGTCTGTTTTGTAACTACATCCTTTGTTGATACGCTCTAATAAACACGGCTGAGTTATAAAATCGACTTGTCTATGCAGTGTAAAGACTTGCATGTCATAACTTGAAGAGCAACGCCCACGGCACTAGCATGTAGATGAATGTTGGCCGTGCATATGTTTGCATAGTGTTCTTTATAAAAGGTGGTTGAACGGGGGCACATCTATGACTGCCGTGCCCACAGTTCTTGTTTGCCATGGTTGTTCCCTCCTCCTCTGACCAATGCAACCCGAGAGCTTTAACGCAGCACATATGGCAAGCAGTTTTAACATTTATTCCTTAAAACTAGCATCTGTTACTAGTTTATTTTTAAAGTAGGTTTAGTTAGTTTTTTTTCATATGTAACTAACTACTTATATACTTGTTGTACTTCTAATAGCGATCTATTACTGTTACTTATTTGGCAATAGAATATTATGAGACAACATCTATTCCAGTTGGATACATTTTTTTTTTATCTCAGTACAATTGTTTAATGTTTATAAGCTGCAAGACTAGTTCTGAATATTAGTGTTTTTATAAATTGCATAATGCAATGAATAATCAGACTAATAAGAACCTTTAACTACTAGTTAAATAAATAAAAATCTCACTAGTAAGATATTTTAAAAAAAGGTTTCTAGTAAGAATTTGGACATCCAGTCTAATAAAAGGCTGACTAGTGTCTCTTGCGTTGCTATTTAACCTGGAGTGGATACTAAGTACTGGAAAAGGTAGTCTAAACTACTAGTCTTCCTGGAATTACTACTAGTCAGAAATGAATAGCTGATATTTGAACCAGAGACCCCCATAGAAAAATGTGCAGTGTTACCAGAAACAATGAAATAGTTGCTTTAATTATTGGAATGGTGATTAGTACTAGCATGCAATTAGTAACGGTGAAACAAACTAGTGATTGTTAAAGTAGTACAAACGATAGATAAGTTTAAAGTAATAATTCACCCAAAAAGTGTAAATTCTATACTGTACTCACCCTCAAATCGTTCCAAACCTGAATGACTTTATTCTGCAGAACACAAGCAGATAATCTAATGAATATCCAGTTTGGTGAGTTCAGTATCATGACCATTCATTGCATTTCCAGATCTCAAAACATGTTAAGCCACAAACACACCGGAGAGCAGTGGCAGATGCAAATTGGCTTAAATGTTTATCACCAGAATCAACCGTTTTTGTTGACACTCTCGGGTGCTTCATTAAGAATAAACACAAGTTACAAATGTACTGACATTGTATTGACTTCATCCAATCGGATACCACTCTTTTTAGGAATAAATGTTAAAACAACTTGCCATTTCATATGTTCAGGGCTGAGCTGCTCAGTGAACTGTAACATGAATGCAGATTGGTTTGCTCTGAAGGCATACAGTGACCTTGCTCTAGATAAAGCAGCTACTGTTCCTTCAGTGGACACAGATGATTTTATTCCACAAAACCAACAGAAATGACAATGAGATAAAGCTCAAATTCTTATAAAAGTGGTAATCTTTATTTAAACCCAAACTACAGTGCACATGACAGATGCACAGCATAGCTACAGGGTACAGACAAAATATGCCAGATTTATAAAAACACAACATACTACAAATGATTACGAAAAACAACAGATATTTTTAGATGGCAATTCATTCATCTCACATCTACAGACAGAAAGCACAAAATATGCTCTTCCGCAATGTGCATAATCAACTCAATGCCAGACAATTATGATGAAGCAAAAAACATGACATGGTCTGAGTTTCGAAGCATTTACATTACTGCAAACAATAAAGAGTAAGTCTTTGTGACAAAACAGTACAAAAGTATTTGCTGGGTGCTTTTACTTTATATAGTTTCCATAAGCTGTTTGTACTATTATGCATACATGTCCTCACGGTCAGCATTGTAGAGTTCACCTTCCTGCAAAGAAGCGAAGTTGAGGAAGTGAGATGGTCTGTGAACTTCATGGTAGAACTCTTTTGGGTTGGCCAACTGTAGGTCATACTTCATGTTAGGGTCATGGCGAACACCTAGAATGAAGGGGGTAAAGGATAGAAATGCACAGTGTCACATCTGCACGGATTTCTTTAAAAGGTTTAAATCACTTAAATTATATTATTAATTTAAAGCTATGCTCACCCATGAAGTTGTAGTTCCAGGAAACCTGGCCAGGCACCATGAAGAAGCCAAGGAAACGGTCAGACAAGAGCATCTGTACTCTTTCGTAGTGAGAAGGCAAGTAACCTTTGGGGTTATTACCCTTATCTGTGTTTTGCCTACCCCACTCATACCCACTAGGAGTCAGCTTGTATGCCGTCAGCGTGCAGGAACCAGGGGTGAAACTAGATAAGCAAAACCAAATGTTAAACCCACAAAAGCAGTGTCAAATATTATAACCAGATAATCATTACACAGCCACAGTGCATTAGTATGCTAAATATGTACCTGCAAGTAATAATGATAGTCTTCTCGCCATCCCAGGATGGGTTGTCAGCCATGACCTTTGCATGAGTGGTGACATCCTGAGGAGAAAGCTGGGGCGATTCATTGGGCTGTGTATGGATCCATCCAAGAGGTTCCATTTCCTATGAACGATAAAGACGGCATTCAAACGGTTTGATACAAGCTAGGGAGAACATAGATGGCTGATAACACCAAACTACAGACATATGCATGCGTGTAAAACACTGACCTTCAAGTACTCATGTTGTGGCAGCTGGTTGGGCAGGTGAACCGTCTGATGCGTACCCCACTGTGGCACCATCACAATGCAGCGGATCTCTTTTACCTGAGGGTTATCTGGAGGGCTGGTTCCATAGAGATAACCTGCAATCTATAGGCATAAAAAAAAAATAGACAAAAAGGTTTAGGATACTTCTAAATGAACCAAAGGAAGAGGATCTATACGATAAATCATGTTAAGACGACATTTCATCTTACCTGAGCACGCAGATCTGAGATACAGATGAACTTCTTCAGAACGTTCTTGGGCAGGATGTAAGTGTACCCAGTCTCTTTGATGTCATCCGATGATACGTAGATGTGGTTAGTACGTAAGTGCAAGTTTGCAGCAGAGATCGCCCTGTGAGATCGGGAAAACAGTTCAACTCAATCTAGCTGTGTTTTAACAACTAAAAAGACAAGACAGACATGGAGAACTTTACACACCTAACTCTCCATTCAGTTTTGGAAGAGAAGGTCTGCGTCTCGTAGTTGCTGGTGGTGGAGGTGATAATCTCATCCCCGTGTTTGTTTACAGTGCGAGTCTGTGTGGCCGTTAGTTGAGACTGCTCCTTGGTCTGCTTCTCGATCTCAGCAATCTGTTGTCTCTGCTGGGATGGAGCCGAGATCTCCATACCCAGGATGATGTCCCTGATTTCAGACTGGGTCAAAGATGCCACATTCACACTGTGAAGGAGGAGGGAAAACAGTTAAAATGTGAGAAGGAAATATTTTTTCAGTATGCACTCAGAAGCCAGCATTTGTTCCATAGCACTCACTTGTTCTTCTTGCCATAGTCAGCCAGGATGAGATCTTTGAGCTGCACCTCCACTTTGATCCACTCCTCATCAGTCAGAGTGGGCCAGATGTGGTGGGGCTCGGTGATGGTGGTCTTGTCAGGCTTCAGGATAACTTTAGCACGGTCATTATTGACATGAAGTGCTCTCAGGATTAAGATCAAACGAGAGAAAGCCTAGGCAACAAAAATGTACAATGGTTAAAGACCTTATATTGAGCAGTGTAACCCTCAGAAGCAACAAATGATTAGGTCAAAATTAAAGTATAAGTGCTGGATTTACAGTGTAAGAGGAGATGGTCTTCAGCCAGTCATCGTACAGATTGAACAGGACCATCTGAGGCTCTGTGGCCTTCAGAATGAGGTCTCCAAACTTCTCCACTTTCAGACATGCCTGGAATGGCAGCTGGAGTTCAGAGCCCTTGATTACAATGTTGGGGAAGTCCAGCAAGTGCACCTGAGAAAAACAGACAGCTGTTAATCTACAAGTTAACATATACAGATGTTAAATCAATTTCCAGAGCATTAACTCAATTTGCCTTTTACAGTTTTAATGGGTGTTTCTAACCTCAAGAGGATCCAACATGCCCTTCCTGGTCACAATAATCTGTTTGGGCTGCTCTTCAACAGGCAGCGATCGGATCAGGGCAGCCACTTCTTCAGCAGTTTTCCACTTAGCCAGCTATAAAAACAGAAAAAGTGCAACTAAGCAAAACCTAAAAACAATTGAGAGACTGCTTTGAGCAGAACACTGACTAATGACAAAAAAATAACTGCACGGAGACAAAACACAAGACTGACCTGTCCGAGACGCTTTTGTCCTGCCCATACAGAGGTGTGAATGATCTTCAGGAAAAGCTGTCCAGTTCTGGGGTTGAAGATGAAAATTGCCCCATTGATTGGTTTGGTTGTCAAGTTACCTTCAAAAGTCTAAAACATGGAAAAAATGTAAACAAATTAGACATTTTAGCACACAACCCAAGATGACGACAATATGAACACCATAAGTGACATCTACATGACACTTGCCTTGTGGATGGTGACTCTGTACACATTGGTGTCATCCACAAACCAGATGATCTGGTTAGAGAAGAGCTCTCCATAGTTCTGGGAAGATAGGTAAGGCTCAGTGGGCTCTGAAGAGTAGAGTTGGAGACCCTTGCGGATTCGCTCTCTCAGCACATACAAAGCAGGGTTGGCCTTCATTATCTTTGCCATGGCCTGCTGGATCAGGGGCTTGGCTCCAGGGAACCAGTTTCCATAAGCACTGCAGAGAGAGAGAACAAATCAAATACTTTAACAGCTGCTCTGTTGCTGTTTTTGGGATATGTAACCAAAGTTGTACTTAACTATGTGACATAAAATCACCTGCACATGACAAAATACTGACCTGTGAAGGTTGTAAGCCAGATCAATGGCAATCAGGACTCCAGTGGGTGATGGGTAAATACTCATGTTGTCAGTGGTGTAGTCCAAGAACTTGGCCCTGGCATATCGCTCAATGTCATGGGAGTCGTAGTCACCCCATCTGAGCTGAATGTCAATCCAGTACTTCTGTGTGGTGGTGCTGTCCATAACATCCCTATAGAAAGAAAGGCAAGAAAATATGATTAAGACATTTTCTATATGTTTATACTT